ATCAGAAAACTCACAAACCACTGGGATATCACACAGGGTAGTGGCTTGGATAGCACATGCCAAGTGTTGGAGTTCAAAATTTTAGGAAAGTGGTACTAGAAAAGCATTACCTCCCTTGGGTTCTCTCAACATAATTGTATGAGTGCTAGTGTCAATGAGAACCCCATGATCGCTCATCCACTTCATGCCTAAGATCACATCTATAGATAATCCGAGCAATACTATCAGATCCATTGTATACTCCCTCTCTTGTATAGAGATGAGTACATCTCTAACCATCTTATTTGTAGAGATAGTAGCCCTAGCTAAACTTATACTATAACCACCCTTGTTTACCTCAATTACTTTCTGATCATGTCTAGATGCAAATGATTGGCTCATAAATGAATGGGTAGCTCCCGAATCAAATAAAACAATGACGGGATGTTTGTTAACAAGAAACATACCAGTGGTGACAACCTCTCCCACGGGAACCTCTTCAATAGCAGTGTAGTGCACATATCTAGGACATGCCTTAGGATTCACCTGCCTCTGATTTCCCTGGTTCTTATTGCTGTTCTTCTTAGGATGGGGGCACTCTTTGGACCAATGGCCCAACTGATTACAGTTGAATCAGGGTTGATTGCACTTGGATCCTATGGAGCTTCCTTGCCCTCCATTCCCATTGGGTAAGGCAATGGTTTACGAAACACCTTTTGAGGTCGGTTGGTCTGAGCTTTTGGTGGAGGAGGCCCGAACTTGGGCGCTGGTGGTCGAAACTGTGGCCTAGCTGCCACTAGAGCTCTGGACTGGGAAGACCCTGAGGCACCTGCCTCAGCTGCCCTCTTGCGGCCCTTTGCTGCCGCATGCAGATTGTTGTGGTTCTCCGAAGTCAATGCATCACTAATGAACTCAATGTAGGTGGTGCACCTTGAGTTTGCCATAGTTTTCATCAACTTAGTGCCAAGGCCTCTCTTGAAGCTTTCAATCTTTTTTTCTTTAGTGTCAACAAAACCTGGGGCATAATGAGACAGATTATTGAAAGCATGCATATACTCAGTAAGGGTCTTGGTCCCTTGTGTGAGCCGCATGAACTCCGTTGCCTTCATGCACATCAGCCCTGGGGGAATGTGATGTCCCCTAAAGGCTAACTTGAATTGCTCCCATGTGACCTGTGCATTGGCAGGTAAAGAGGATAGGAAATGGGTCCACCATATCCCAGCCGGTCCTTACAGCTGATGGGACGCATATTCTGCCTTCTGATGTTTTGTGACCCTCAGTAGATGGAACTTTTGCTCAATAATGTTGAGCCATTCATCCACCTAGAGCGGTTCCTCGAAAACCTTGAAAATAGGAGGCTTGGTGTCCAGGAAATCCTTGAAAGTGCTGTACTGATTCAGCTCAGGCCCCTGTTGCTATTGCCAGGCACGAGCTGTGTTCTGCGCAATGAGGCGTAGGGTTTCCTCCATAGTCCTCTGACTTCCTAGAAATTGTGCAAAGAACTCATTAGCAGACGGTGGTGGCGGTGGTGGTAAGTCACCATCATTGCCCTCTTGGCTGCTACCTGCTCCAGCACGAGTGCGAGTCATCTACAAAGTTGCAACAATAAGTGATTATTGGATGATGTCAAGAGATTGCAGATAAATTGTATAATCATGCCAAACTAAAATTACTAGAGAGAATCTTAAATTCATACAATAAACAGAGGCATAATAATTCATTCTCGCAACATGACATCACCAATTTGATCACTTATCGGGCTCATAGCGCGTTAACATACAAGTCATAATTACCAGTAAGACAAAACTAGAATTTCATTAACGTTCAACCCAACGTGAAATAACATGCAAAGTACCAATATTACATGAAAGTCAACTCACAAATACCAAACTTCCACTACAAGTTCATTACATAAATAGCGGGGATACATCTAGCGCTTCAACAAGTCATTAGGTGACTCTAATCTTCATTATGGTCGCTGTCGAGGTCGGAGATAGGATCATCATCATTCTCTGGCTCCACTTCTTCCTCGTCCCAGCCATCATCTTCTACTAACATTTCTAGATCTTCGTCTTTCTCATCAAGGATCGGGTGCAGTTGGTTGTTTAGATAATGCACCTCTTGCTGAAGATCCATCACTACATGCTGGGCCTGTGCAAGCTGCTGGCGCAAGTCCCTCTCAACATGGTCCTGCATGGCACTCATGGCGTGGGTCCTATCTTGTTTTGCTTCTGCTGAAGCAGCATGGTTGTTTGCTAGGTTTCGCTGGCGCGTAGTTGTGAACACCTCAGCACGGGTGGCCTCCAGCTCCTCCCGCAGTCCTGCTAGCATTGTTTGATCATCTGCTTTTGCTTCTTGGGTGGAAGCTCTCTGTTGATCAACTTGCTCCATTTGGGTGTGGAGATTCCCCAAAGCTACATATGATTGAACAGTTTCCCATCAAGCCTCACTTGCTGCCTTTTTGTGCTTGCGCACACGCTTCTTGAGCTTACGTTGTGCAGCTTCGACCCTCATGAGCTTATCCATGCAAATGGTATAGGACTCCTGCTAGAAGTCCCTAGTGTCCTGACGAGTGTAGAACATCTTCATTACTGCAAACATGATGCTCATAGCAGGACTAGAACTGTCTGCTCGCTCATCCCGATCTCGGATCAGCGCATTGCGATTGTGCTGTGCCCATACTGCTGTGGATGGATCCACCCGAGGAAAAACACCAGCAGCACTACCGGTAAGCTCATCCCCGTGCTACTGACAGATCTGACTCAGTACCTCGAAGGCTACTACTTGGGCAACTTCCCAAGGAGTTCTTCCATCAGATTCTGCTTTCCATTCCTGCCAGAAGGGTGCTTGAGTACGAGCTCGTATGGTTAGCTGCACTTCATACCATGGCTGTCCCTCTAGGTATACTTCATTCCAGTAATAGAGGGGCGGTTCATAATACCCCGCATAGTGCAAGACGCTCCAAAGCAGAGCAGGAGTTCCAAACATCAATAGGAAACTCTCACTTCCAGCCGGTGCTGCTATCTATACCAACAACATATGCAACTCTCATGAGACAAAGTCATAATGGATAACCAACAGCAATAGGGGCCTGAGCTGAATCAGTACAACACTTTCAAAGATTTCCTGGACACCAAGCCTCCTATTTTCAAGGTGGCCGAAGAACCGCTCTAGGCGGATGAATGGCTCAACATTATTGAGCAAAAGTTCTGTCTACTGAGGGTCACAGAACATCAGAAGGCAGAATATGCGTCCCATCAGCTGCAGGGACCGGCCGGGATATGGTGGACCCATTTCCTATCCTCTTTACCTGCCAATGCACAGGTCACATGGGAGCAATTCAAGTTAGCCTTTAGGGGACATCACATTCCCCCAGGGCTGATGTGCATGAAGGCAGCGGAGTTCATGCGGCTCACACAAGGGACCAAGACCCTTATTGAGTATATGCATGCTTTCAACAATTTGTCTCGTTATGCCCTAGGTTTTGTTGACACTAAAAAAAAGAAGATCGAAAGCTTCAAGAGAGGCCTTGGCACTAAGTTGATGAAAACTATGGCCAACTCAAGGTGCACCACCTACAATGAGTTCATTAGTGACGCATTGACTCAGGAGAACCACAACAATCTGCATGCGGCAGCAAAGGGCCGCAAGAGGGCAGCTGAGGCAGGTGCCTCAGGGTCTTCCCAGTCCAGAGCTCTAGTGGCAGCTAGACCACAGTTTCAACCACCAGTGCCCAAGTTCAGGCCTCCTCCACCAAAAGCTCAGACCAACTGACCTCAAAAGGTGTTTCGTAAATCATTGCCTTACCCAAGGGGAATGGAGGGCAAGGAAGCTCCACAGGATCCAAGAGCAATCAACCCTGATTCAACTGTAATCAGTTGGGCCATTGGTCCAAAGAGTGCCCCCATCCTAAGAAGAACAGCAATAAGAACCAGGGAAATCAGAGGCAGGTGAATCCTAAGGCACGCCCACGATACGTGCACTAATCGTTGTTGAAGAGGTTCCCATGGAGAGGTTGTCACCGCTGGTATGTTTCTTGTTAACAAACATCCCGCCATTGTTTTATTTGATTCGGGAGCTTCCCATTCATTTATGAGCTAATCATTTGCATCTAGACATGATCAGAAAGTAATTGAGGTAAACAAGGGTGGTTATAGTATAAGTTCAGCTGGGGCTACTATCTCTACAAATAAGATGGTTAGAGATGTACTCATCTCTATACAAGAGAGGAGTATACAATGGATCGATATTATTGCACGAATTATCTATAGATGTGATCTTAGGCATGAAGTGGATGAACGATCATGGGGTTCTCATTGACACTAGCACTCAAATGCGATTATGTTGAGAGAACCCAAGGGAGGTAATGCTTTTCTAGTACCACTTTCCGAAATTTTGAACTCCAACACTTGGCTTGTGCTATCCAAGCCACTACCCCCGTGTGATATCCTGGTGGTTTGTGAGTTTCCTAATGTATTTCGGATGAGTTACCGGGTTTATCACCGGATAGGGATGTGGAATTCAAGATTGAGTTAGTGTCGTGCACGGCACCTATCTCAAGAAGACCCTATAGGATGCCACCAAATGAGCTAGCTGAACTTAAAATTCAGTTACAAGAACTGTTGGACAAAGGTCTCATTCAACCTAGTTCGCTCTCTCACGGGGATGTCCAGCATTGTTTGTAAAGAAGAAGGACAAGTCCTTGAAAATGTGTGTGGTTTATAGACCACTAACTTCGAATGGACGTGAACTTTGCAAATAATAATAATAATTCAAAATTTGCCTTTCCAGACATGCCTTGTAGGAGCAGGTTGAGATGGGAAACATACAGTCTTAGAAGTTGTGACTATAGTTCTTGATGTGCCGCCACCAAAGCCTGGTTCAATGTATGGACTCACTTCTGTTGATATGGTGTCTGCCACTGATCGAAAGTCTGCAATGGCACTCCAAAGATTAGTTCAAGCTGCTATATTAAGAGCAAAATTTCCAGTTGGTTAATTTTCTCATATTGAGGTTTGGCCATGAAACAACAACAGATTGATGTTTGGTCCTGTAACTATAAGGTTTGGTTTATAGGAGAAAATGCTAATTATACTGCATCTGAGTATACCTGGGAGTCTGCAAAGCCGCTAGGTACCTGGACTAATGATGCTAGATGCTGATAAAATGGTTTGTGCAGCAAGGTCCTGTAATCCTAGACTTGCTAGCGGCTGCAAATGTGTGCATTTAGTGAAGCTGGGAGGCAGGGCCCTTTGCAAAAGGACAATCTCTTTTCTTTATTGTTCAAAAAAAACTTGTCATTATGGGGTGTCATAGTATGACACTAGCTATGACATCTTATTTGATGGTTTCTGTTTTTTCTCTCACTGTACTGTTAAGCTTGTAGATCCGCATTGCTGCTGTCCAAGCCATAACTACCATTGCAATAAGGTTTAGTAAACCTTGTAGACTGAAGATATATGAATTTCTTCATGCTTTGGCTCTTGGTGGTGTGCAGTCAATTTTTTCAGAATTGCAGCTAAGTAATGGGGAAAATCGAGGTGCCAGTGGTACTGGTATTGGATATGTAATAAACCCAATGCTTAAGGTCCTAGATGAAATGTATAGAGCTCAAGATGATCTTGCCAGGTATATGTGACACTAAAACTTCTCATGGCTGCTGTACAGAAGTCTTGAGGTGGCCTCATTTTTTATTTTTTATATTCTGCCTTGTTTCTGTAGAGACATTCACCAGCATGATAATCGTAAACTGGAATGGAATGACGAGGAACTTAAGAAACTTTATTGAACCCATGGGAGGCATCTCGATTTTGTTTCTTTGTTCTGTTTGTTCTAAGGGCTAAATACTTGTCTCTTGGTCCTACCAAGTATGTACTATTATAATTATTGAGGGAGCAAATCATCTTCTAGTGTATAATTGCTTTTGATCTGCATTATATTTTCGTTGCTGTTGAACTGGCTATGTAGGATGTTGATCTACAGGAGAAGGTTGATGTGATAATATCAGAATGGATGGGCTATATGCTTCTCTGTGAGGTTTTTTGTCGACGCAGTTTCTTTTTATTGCATTTCAATGTGCTCTTACTTTTGCTGCGAAGTGTCCTATTTACTGATTCAAGTCACTTACTAATTTGAACATGATTTCGTGGTCAGGTTAATGAACTCAATTTGATTATCTGTGAACCTGGTGCTGTTTATTTGCATGTTAGATTTTCTTTGGCTTACTGCAAATAAAAAGGTTGTCACTGAAGAAGGGGGTATTGTCAATAATAAGAGAAAATTAATGCAGTTTGGTTTGCCAAGAAATTTATGTTTTTTATTATTTGTTCCAGTTACAACCTTTCATTTGTTTTTACAATCTACATTGCTCAGAACTACGTCCCAAACATAAAAAAAAAGGCGAGAATACTTGATCACCTGGATGACAGTGTTGATGATGTTTGCTGATCGACTGGAGGAACAGATCGTTCACACTTCTTCGCCCACAGTAATAGATGGCGGGGTTTGGAGATCAGGAGGAACAGGTTTGAGGTCAGGACTCCAGCTTGGAGGCGATGGTGGCTTGGGGGATCTGGAGGAACAGGTACATTGCTCAGAACTACGTCCCAAGCATAAAAAAGCGAGAATAATTAGATCACCTGGATGACAGTGTTGATGATGTTTGCTGATTGACAGGAGGAACAGATCGTTCCCGAGGTTAGGACTTCTGCGCCTGCAGCAATAGATGGCGGGGTTTGGTGATCAGGAGGAACAGGTTGAGGTCAGGACTCCGGCGTTGCAGGCGATGGTGGTTTGGGGGATCTGGAGGAACAGCGATGGTGGCTTGTTCTTCTGTGTAGGTGACGGCCGAGAAACAGACGGCATGAGGCGTTGACCGTGGGGTTGATTTTGTAACCCATCCTTTTATCCACGTGTAATTTATTGATGTCCATATGGAACTCGTGCATGCATGGCTAACGCGATTTTCAAATTATAAGCAATTATAATAATATATGCAATATAATTTATGAAAAAGTAAAAAAGAATAATAAAAGCAAAATTAGAAAAAGAGAGTGATAAACGCCTTACGTACCAAAATAAATCAACGTCCTGAAAATAAAAAAAAAGGCTTTTGTATGATAATCAGCGGTAGTATTTTCTTTACGAATTTTGTATGTCCGTAGCAGATTATTATTATTTAATTGTTCTAATCTCATCGCAGATAAATAGTATGTCAGACTAAAAAAGTTCACCTCATGGTCCCGTAGGTGTAGGTAGATAATAATTTCCGCAAGTTCACTCTAGATAGTTGTGATGAACAAAGTTTTTTTTTTGTAGCCTCTTATCTAAGTACAGTTGTAGCATCTGTTCGGATAGAAACACATACCACCACACACACGCACACCCTACACATACACGGTATACGAACAAACCTACAACTATACCTAGACAACGAACGCAGCTGAGAGATACTCGAAGAACGTCATACTTGACCATTGTGGTATATCTGCGTGACAGACAACTGAAATTATAAACGAAGAATAAATCTCCGAGGTGAGGCTGCTAGGTTGAATCCAACCTAGGACCGGCCGCTTGAACCACCGCAAGCAAGCCAACTGAGCTACGGCTCGTCCTCGTGATGAACAAAGTTGTTACACTATGAACTTGATTTCACGTGATCAGATCTAGCGACAAATATACAGCGTGTTTGGATCAGGGAACGGAACCATGCGCGGAGGCATCCAAACCTAAATGCAACTTTTGGTTTGGTGGAGGGCACCAGGTCGTGTTCTCTGCCAGTGTAAAGGAGTCATTTACTTCTTCCTTGAAAAACGGTCGGACGTCGTCCGCGAGCGCTATTCCACAATTCAAACATCCCCGGTCATCATCCGAACCTCATAGGAATGATTTCATGCCTGATGCGTTGGTGCCGAACGTGGCCATTCCTCAATCCAAACACGCTGATAATGTTATGAATATCTCGCTCAAAGTATTTTTTGGTGATATTATAACACACAGTTAGATTTAAATTGTCATGGTAAATTTTTTTCCGGTGCAAGGGCATTATTATGATGTAATATAAAATATATCGGAGGGGCAAAGTGGTCATTTAACTGAGTAGAATTATTTTATCGTGTATAAATGATTATGTTGAGTTCACAGATTTTTTTGTTTATATAATTGTTGGATCTATGTGTGGTTTTATACACATTTTACAAATTCTCACTTTCTCAGTTTTTTTTTTTGAGCAACCTTTCTCAGTATTTTTTTTTTTTTTGGAAAAGGACCAAATCGCGAAAAATAAAATGTACAGCGTAGAGGCGTTTTTGGGCCTCGGCCCGGTCCACAGCGAGAGCGCGGCCCCGCGCGGCAGGCCCAATGCGTCAAGACGCTTTTGCAAAAAAAAGCCTTTGATTTCTAACGAATCCCGTCCCTCCCTGATTCACCATTCATTTCTGTCAGGCGGTAAACACCCCATACTAGTTTCTATTCGTGTTTTCCCCGGTCCCTAGCTTGATCGGAGAACACGCGTGCACAGGGTCCTGGCGGGCGGCCAATCCGGCCGGGGAACGGCACGGTGACGGCAGAGAGACGGCCCCGAGGGGCGCGGGGCTCTCGCGGACCCAGATCTGGCATCATTTTAGTCGGAGGGTGGTTGCGTCCGCCCCGGCCTCGTGCAGCGGCGGCGACGGCCATGGCCGGCCGCGGCGGTGTGGGGCGGCGACGGTGCGGTGGCCCGCAAAATTCGCAGGCGGAAGCAGCGCATACTCGGTGGCGATATATGGCGGCTGCGAGGCCCAGGGGCAGCGGCAATAGCCTGGCGCGGCTGGCCGCTTGGGTGGCCGCGGCGGCCGCGGCACCGGCGGCATTCCGGCGAGGTAGCGGTTCCGCAAGGCAAATGGAGCGGTAGAGGATGGACAGGATCTCACCATGGTTCGTGCGCGGGCGACGATGGGATCGGAGACGACCCGAGCAGTGATGGCCACGGGAGCAGCGGGTATGGCGGCCACGGCGTTCACGACTCACGAGGCGCTCTGGTGGAGCTCAGAGCACGCGGGGATGACGGCGAAATTGGCAGCAGTGTGGGAGTGGATCAAGAAGGGCGGGATGGAGGGTGGCGGCGCAGCGAGCTGGGCGTCGCCGGCACTGGCGTCTGTGCGCGCGCCGTTCGCGATGACCTTGGCACAACCGGGGGCGCGCGTGGCGAGCGTGGCAGCGTTCCGCGGACGCGTGGGCGGCACGCGGCAGGCTTGGCGTTTCATCGAGCATGTGGCGGGCGATGTCAGACGAAACCGCAGCTCGTCGCTTGTTTTGATCCGTGGTTTCGTCATATTCTACTTTCATTCGGATCCAGAGGCTGTAACGAAATATCTTCACCGCAGCGTGTTCTACAAGTTTGATTAAAGGCTAAACATTATTAGAGCCATGGTTTTGGATTTAATTAGCCATAAAATTGGGTTAGTCAAGCTGATTTCTGGGTTCCAGGATTAGGTTTTGAAATTCTGTTTTGGCTCTGTTTGAATGTGAATTTCAATGTTCAAGTCAAGTTCAACGCCCCAAACTTTGTTGAGCCGATGTAATAATAAGTTTAAACTACAAACATCATATTTGGTTCACGAGTTATTGTTTATCAAAAATCGGAGAACATAGCAGGTCAATATAGCTACATCGGTCTGGTTCTAGACAGAAATATTCTAAGTCTTCCTTTAAGCATGTATTCTGATTCGAACTTTGACCCCTGTATATTGATCACATTTTGGTATAGTTTGACTAAAATTATAGAGAGAATTACAAAGATTTTATGACATCAAATAGGTATACTATAAAAATATAATTAATGAAGAATCTAACTATATTTATTTGGTACCATAAATGTTATTATTTTATTATATAAATTTTGTCAAACTTGAGATATTTTGACTCTTCAAAAAGTTAGAATGACTTATAATTTAGAACGGTGAGAATAATTTCTTAGTTTTGAAAGGAGAGAAGGTAGGAGAAATATCCTTTTTATCCTATTTTAAACCTCTAGCCAATGCCGTGTCCAAGAGCCCTCTGCAACCCCGCCGGTGCACAATTATGGTTCCCCTTCATTTTGAGAAAAGAGGAGCCAGAGCCTACCAAAACTTACCCAAATGGGACCAAAATACTGATGGCAAGTCCCTGTATGCATTGATATATTAGACCGGACGAAAAATAGTGCATGTGTCCCACTGGTCCTATCTATGTGACGGGATAGGAAAGCGCTCGGGTGGAATAACAACCAAGTCGCCACTCGGCTATAATAACTCAGAATAGTGCAACAACATCTTTCTAAAAAAGAGAATAGTAGAACAACGCAGATTACCCAAATACTACAAATCATGGCGCAGCAGGAGGGCGCCGGAGATCCCCACGAGCTGCAGGCGCGGTACACCACCGAGGCTGAGGAGCTGCTGTAAGCTCACCGTGAGCTCTGGAGCCATGCCTTGGGCTACGTCAAGTCCATGGCGCTCAAATGGGCCTTGGACCTACACATCCCTAATACCATTCAACCCTGCGGCGCAGCTGCCACCCTAGGCCAGCTCCTCACCGCCAGCGACCTCCCGGTGTCCAGCCTCCCCTACCTTCGCCGACTCATGCGCATGCTGACTGCCTTGCGCATCTTCGCGCTCAGCCATGATCCCGACAGCAACGACCCTGCTGACGATGCCGCCACCGTCTTGTACAAGCTCACCCCGGCATCCAGCCTGCTCCTTAGCAGCAGGGATGCCTCCCATTTTAGCCTATTTCCTACCATTTACCCTGTCGTCCAGCAGGGTCTCGTAT